TAAAAGAGGTAGAGTTTATCAATTCGTGCGAATATTTTTTTTTTTATATTTATATGTTACCGCAAAACTTTGTACCACTTGAACGGATTTCAATAGTTCCTTTTTATCGGAAAGGTGGTACCTCAAGGGTGACCCCATACTAATTTGGTTTAGATCCGGTCATTGGATCATGAAGAAATTTACGGTCAATATTTATATGAGATCTGAAGTCGCTTTGTGTTTTTTTTTTTGTTTAAAAATTACTTGTTCTTTTTTTATGAAAAAACCATGTAAGTCCAGACTTCAACCTTTGTCCATAGTTAAAAAAATTCGACAAAGTTCCATAACAATTTTGAGCTTTTTAATTCGATAATTTATTGATATTATTTTATAAAGCTTACCGCTCCTTTTTTTCTCGTTATACATTTATCCACGTTGACTCATCAGCTTAAATGGCAGTTTACTTGAAATTTTCCATTGTTGCCATTTAAACTAGAGGGGATAAAAAAGACCGTTTGTTCTTTTCCTTCACTATGCACTAGAGTATATGTTTTACTGTGCGAGCGAAGAAGGCAGTTAAAATTTTAGGGCATTTCATATTGTATTTTTCTTCTTCCTTCATTTGCTGCTTGCAATAGCAAGGATAATATAATTAATTTAAAAATTTTAACTTAAACAAAAATCTTAATATTGAAGATATTTTCAGTGGAAAATTTTGCTTTTTAAAAAATCTTTTTTTGAAGATTTTTAATAAAAAGCAGCCCGAAAAATCTTCAATTTCCAGATAAATCTTGACTTAGGGCAACGCTGCATATACCCTAATTTCGCGCAATTGGATCCCTATGGTCAAAGATGAAAAATATTTGTTCGTTCCTATATTACGTCCGCCTTATGGCTTGGCCATTTTGAATTTCTCCATTCTGTCATCAGCATAGTATTCAGTGACCCCAAAAACGGCTTACACGAGCTTTGGTTCGCTTTTTCACAATTCTAACAGAATCGAATTTAACCACCTGACAATAGACAATATTTTCTAAAATCCGTTTCAAGTAACAAAAAAAAAGAAATATTTATTTCTGTAAAAAAATTTGCTTTTACGGGTATTTTTGCACAAAATTAGTCGAAAATGTCCCACTGTGTAACACCTCTATTGAGTTTTCTTTTATTAGAAATCTTTCTTAAATAGAGCAGAAAAATGTTATTTCTACAATTTATAATAAAAAAAAAACATATCGATGTTGCCTGCTCCATGCGTCGCTGCTCCCTGGAAGCTCTATTCAGTTGGCAGAAGTTTTCTTTGTAATCGGATGCGATGATCAGTTTTCTTTCTTATTATACGAATGGAATGGTGGAATTCGAAAAGCTCTTACGCGAGAGGATAACTACACAGGTCCTCCAAGATGGAGTCGTGTCCATAACTAGACATGCAATGAGATATAATCATCAAAACAGAGCTCTTTCCTCCATTCTCTGGAATCTTACAGTAAACACTCGTACTTTGAGACTGCAAAATATCGGCTGTCAAGTCACAGCATACACTGACGACATTGCACTGAGAGCATCGGGTAAACCTCTACAGAAAATTTGTGAAGTACTGCAGAGCGCCCTCTGTCTGGTTAGAAATTGATCTAGGGAGAGTAGACGTTAATCCCACCAAGACCGAAACGGTACTCTTCACTAGAAAATGCAGCATTTCATCTTCTCAGCCATCCTTTATCAATGGAATAAGGCTGAGATTCACTTCCGAGTTCAGGTACCAAAATTAAATTCTAGACAGGAAGTCAAACAGATGTTAAAGTCTAAGCATAATCTTCAAAGAAGGTAAAACTTGTCGGACTGAAAATTTTTTCGCACCCGCTTCTATACCATAGAAAATATTTATATTTATATGGCCTTTTAGGTCACATTTCTTTAGGTGTCACAGAGTCTTATCAATTAGGGAGTTCACAAGGTGTTATAAACTCCCTAAATAAGTGTTAACGATCCAAGTAAATAAGACCGCTCCTAATACGATACTTGGATATACATATGAGGGTGTATGCCTATACGTATGTAAGTATGTATATATGCGTGTATTCATATATGTATTTTTATGCATATTCACATATGCAAATATAATTTTCCATGATGCCATTAAAAAGTTGCTGCAGGACTTCAAAAGCGTTGCTTGCAAATGCTGCAATAATTTTCGAATGACTGATGTATGTACATATATATGTACGTACATAAATGGATGTGTATCGAATATGTACGCTAGATGAATGTATTTTTGTAAATTTGTGAGAAAGTGAGCAAGTATACTTATATATATATATATATATATATATATATATATATATATCACGTAGCAATATGTATATGGGGCGTTCCGTACCAAAACGGATGGGATTCACACTTTATGTGTTTGATTTGTTTCAAATTTGAGCTTGATTAATACATTTTTTTTTACAGCATAAAAACAAAAACCAATCGATTTAGTAGTTTTCCAAATATCTCGAAAACGAGGCGAGGAAAAAATTTGAATAAAATCACACATACACACATCAAAATTCTCTACGAAAATAAATATTTTAAAAATTTTTTTTCTTGAAAAATTTTTCACATACAAATTAATTGATAAAAAAATTATTTTTTGAAAATATGCCATCTCAAAAAAATATTAAAAAAATCACAATGGTGGCTCTGAGTATTGCGCAATATTTAAGTATAGTATTATGGGGTGGACTCTACAATAATTTGAGTTATGATTTTTTTTCACGCCGAAGTTGAGTAAAATAAGTACATTAAAAATTTACAGATTACTAAATTTTTTTTAAGTTTTTTTTTTCGTGTATGCAGTTTTGTAGCCCATTAAATTTCTCGAGATGTTTGGAAAACTAATGAATCGATTTGGTTTTGTTTTGGTACTATAGAGTTTTTAAAAGTTTATTAATCAAGCTCAAATTTCATACTTATTTATTATTTATGTTTTTGCATCAAACCTAAAAATTTTAAACAAATCAAACACATGAAGTGTGTGGTATGGAACGCCCCATATGCGGCTAGAGATGTGTAATAAAAAATCTGTGCATTTTACTTTATTTTAATTTTTTTTGTTTTGTTTGGTAAAAAATGAGAAATGATTTTTACACGTCAAAGCGAAATCACAAAAATGCTACAACTAAATAAATAAATAAAAAGAAGGAACCAAAAGTAAAGGTTGATAGGTGCAAATATCTACCTATGTATGTACATACTGGTATGAGAACACATACATAGTATATGTAAGTACATAAGTACATATATGGTAAATGCGTATGTTGATTACAACATTTTTACCGAAGCCAACAGCATATATGTATATACATTCACAAATACTCTTAAAGAGTTAAATTGTGTACCATAACGGAATTAATGTGTCGACATTTATCAAACGAAACTCATGCATATCAGCAAAAATATCCATTTAAGACTTCAAAAACGCATGCATATCAAATTCGAATGAATTAAAAAAATTACAACTAAAAAATATGGAAAAAAGTTCGTTTATGACGGACCCGTCTAATATGAAAAGATAATTGAAATATTATGTATATCAAATAAGCATAAAGTTTATTGGTCGCAAATAAACCTACCAAAAAATAACGTTTGTTTGTACTTAATCCAATTCAAGCTACTAACATTGAAAGCATACTAAAATATTTATGCTAAATAAAGAGAAAAATTAAAAATGCAATAGGAAAGTAACACTAAATATTGCAAATTTTGTTTATAATTTAAAATCGTTTTCTGTATGCTGTTCTTGTTATTGTTGCCTGCTAAGCTGTTAATACCCTTTTCAGATTATTTTATGAAAATATTATTACATTAATTATATATGTACATAGTACATACATATGTATGTTTGCATGTTTTCACCAAGAAATCAAATTTAATATTTTCTTCGAATGTGCTTTAAATAAAATGGTAGGAATTTTTCAAGTAAAATATCTTTGTATTAAGAGAATCAAATCTTACTGTGGTTGCAGATTTTAGTGCAAGCTTTATACATACATATGTATGTATGTTGTTAATACGTGCCGTATAGCTACGGTGACCATTCGTACCGATTTGAAGCATTTGTACCGCTTAAATCGCGATTTTCAACCTTTTTTTATAAATTTAATAGAAGGTCTCCGTGCACTCTAGCCCAAAAACCATTCTCAAAGGACATAGATTATAAGGGAGCCATAAACAAAGCCAACCATAAACATACTTATTTTCTTTATTAAATATTCAATCNTTTTTTTTTTTTTTTTTTTTGAATGAAATTAAATCAAAAATTTATGGATAGGAAAAAGATAAGCAAAGAAATAAAAAAACAATGCCAGTTTTTACAAATTGCACTTTTTGTATGAAAAAAATCCGCAAAAGCCGTCAGGAAAAAAAAAATATTAAAAATCCACCCGATTTTCCAGCCCCCTTAAACATTCACTTTATCATATTAAAATTTTTGATAGGGTTCAAAACGACATACTCAAAAAATTCTAAAAGATCAAATTAAAAACTCAACATTTTAATAAAAATATATTAAATTAAACTATATTTTTGTGGAAAAATAACAAAAAATTTTAGGTTTTTAAACTTTGCAAATATTTAACAAAAATCACCATAATAGCTCCGACTGTATATTTCAAAATTTAAATATTGTGGGAAAACGCCGAAAAAGTTAAATTATTAATTAAACCATGTTGTGTATTTTTATTCTAAATCAAAATTTTATGTTTTGATTCGATACTTTAGAACTGTCCCGATTTATGCCCACAGAAATCTGGTCACCGTAAGTATAGCGTACTGTCCAAGGAAAATCACACAAGATTGTTACCTCGTATGCGCTGAGTTGCTTTGCAATGAGATAAAAATCGATCCGGTCTTCCAAGAATATGTGAAGTCCTCAAGGAAGATGAAAAGCATTAATGGCCGTTTACTCAATATCTGGTTAACACCATTATTTCCTAATTCGGATACTGGCTAAATGTGTTTCTCTCAACACCAAATCTTTTGTTGATGGAATTATATTTAGCTGACATTTTTCTGAGTGTATAATTATTACATTTTTTTAGCAACGCCGCAATAACAAGAAGAACATACAAAAAAGTGTAAGCCGAATTTCGCTTAAGCTTTATATCAAAATCGAAGAGATTATATCTACTGGTCTCCAGTTTAGGATGAGTTTTGGAATTTCTAAGATATTCAAGTTTATTAATGATTTATTTTATTTACATTACTACATTAACAATTTATATACACTTGTAATAATTTAAAATATTTTTCTTTCTCGTAATCACGCTAAAGTGAAAAGTTGTATAAATTTCGTTAAGGAAATTATAGTATTGTATAATGGCAGTAAAATTACTTGAGAATCGAGATGAACGTCTGATTTATAGACTCTGGTATAATTTAATGGCCTTATTCATAAAAAGTAAAGTATAAATAAAGATACATTTTTCTCTTTACAAACCTTTTCTGAAGCTACTTTATTTCTTATGAATAAAGCTATATAACTTTAACTTTGTTTTATTTTATTTATAATTTTCTAATATTCAAATCGTGACGACTGCGATCCAGCGACGTAAGCGACATATTCGCAACTCTGCGGATAAGTGAGTTCTAAAGATGTGAAATACTCAAATCGATTACAACTAAAACACCAAATTTCCATTAAAAGGCATGAATTATTTGAACAACAATTTGATTATGCCCAAATTTTCCCAATATAATAAGAGTTTCAAATTATAAAAAAAAAATATTAGTAATATGCAGAACGGATTGAGTTGATATTAAAAAAAATATAAGAAGGCAATGAGAAATTTTACCGAAGTTTTTTACGATAAATACAGATTTTGAAAAGCAATATTGTTGTATACTTTTCTTGCGCAAAGAGATCGATCTTTTTGACAACCCAAACCAAAACAGTTGCGATACTCTTTAGTAAAAGTTATAATTAAAAAAAAATTGAATATTTGTATGTTTTTATAATGTGTTTATATTGTTATTAATGCGTTTTTTATTTAATTTTTCATTGAAATAGTTTAAGGAGTGTATTTTACATAAAGTAATAAGTAAAGAACTTGTAAAGCAACTAAATGTGATTTTCTAGCAAGTAAGCAAGTACAGTTAAAGATAATTAAAAATATATTATCCAATAAGTAGAACAAAAAAAAAAACAAAAATGACAGAAAAGCGAAAAAAAGTTGTTTATGTCAAACTACACGGTAAAGTTAAAGCAGATTAAACAATGAAAATGTTGCGCGCATTTAAGCGACGCGCAAGAGGAGTGAAGTGTAATGCAAATGTAAAAACAAAAAAGTTTTTCGAGAAATCTCTGCTATACATATAAAATACTAAGGAAAATTAAATATATGACATCTGCGTAAAATAAGAGCAGGTAGCATGTATGTATGTAAGTGCGAGTTGGAATGTGCTGCCTAAACGACTACAAAAATTCAAATTGAATATTTAATTTGAAGACCATAATATACAACACAACAACTATCAATGTATGTAGTTGAAAATAAGTTTTGGCTGCACATTTGCGCTATTGACAACCGAAAACTTTACCAACTCGCTGAACTCATTCGAAAACATATCAAAATAGAGGCTGAATAAAAGGTGTGCAAAAATTTAGTATTAAATAAATAAAATTAATAGAGAAATTTAGTTCCATGTATGATAATTACCAATATCATTCAATTTAGATACATACATATATAAACATGTATTTAGCTTAGCACAATATAGTAAATTTAAGGCTCATACTTAGTATAATTTTGTAGTATTAAAATAAAATCTTTAGATAACTTTTTAGGTTAAAAATTAAAACCAAAAAGTGGCAGACATCTACCTACATAAGGTAGTGCAATTTCGTAAGTGTGTAATGCATACTATTGTGGTGACCATACATTCCATATTAAATACATACGTACATACATATATAAAAATAGAAGAAGAATGAAAGACGGCCGATGAGTGTTTTGGTAAATTTTTATTGCAAACAACACATGTTTACAAAAAAAAAGAAAAAAAAAACGTTTCTGCATATTGAAGCAAACCTCTATATCCCTTATATTATACGACGCGCTGTATCCGAATTCCAGGTCTGTTAGCCCCCATCATGTAAAGTTCGAGGTCCTTTGAAGGTCAAGTAGGGAGAATAGACATAGATGTGTAATATTTACACATTTGAAAAGTTTGTGCAAGGAAGCAGTTAAAAAATGCCATTTGATGGTCCCATGAATGATGCCATCGATTGCTGTTTTCGCCTGGCGCAATTAAAAGGATTTTCTGCTGAGTGTTCAGCTCAATGCTTAAAGGAAACATAGAGTAAGTGTAGTTCAAGAGACAGTGACAATTTTGCGCATCAGAATTTTGTGCCATAAAATGCATTGAACTTACTTTGGGTCAACCAAACAAAGGCTGAAATACCTGATAAGGAGTTAAATTTACACATTAAAAAAGCAAAATTATTGAGTTTAAGAATAGAAAATTGAAATCTGAGCGCACCGCAAGTCAAGGTAACACTATAACGAAGAAGGCATAGCTCACTGGATCCGTACTATTTATTCCAAAGAAGATGGTTTAATTTCTTGCAATGTTGACACTGAATCGCGTTTACGTTTTGATTCTTCAAAAACGAGTTTAAATTTACTTAAAAAATTTTTTAATAATCAGAATTAAAAGGAATATTTGTTTTTAAGACTCAGAAAGCGTTATGTTTCAAACTCTAGTATGACTTCTTATTTGGACTCATACATACTTTTTTGAGCTTATAATGAGGGTTAGCAATTTCGTAATCTGCGAAATTCTTCTAGTTCTTTAGTTTTTGTGAAATTTGTGATATTTTTTGTTTAAAATATAAATTTTTTATAACAAATTTAGCCAAAATATGGTCACCGCATGTGTAAGTACGTGTGTATATGTAGCAAACTTTAGCTTATAGAAAAAAAAAATTATACTCAGCTTATATTTGAGTGTGTAAAATTTGTTAAAAGCGAAACATATCAACCATGAAATCGATACATATCAATTGCCAATGGCAGTGTATATCAACTAGTCCTCTAAGTACCACACTATACACATACAATATAATTAAATATATTTAAAGATATTACAAAAAAAAACAAATGGCCTAGCATAATTTTTGAAATAAAACATATCATTAATATTAACAAAAATAAAAAAAACACATATTTAGAAAAGCATAAAATGAATAAATTTAAAGTTTTGAACACACTTTTAACTTATAGCTTAACAGTAGGAACTATAAAAAATATACAATTTGAAAAATAAAAACTTCCGTTTAGAAAACTATTAAAAGTAATAAAAATTTTAAATTAAAATAAAGACCATTTCTGTTTTGTAGTGATTTTTTTTGTTTGTTTTACTTAGTGCAATTCAAGTTATTTGATGCTTTCTTATGAAATATTTCGCAAAACTTTTAGCATACATAGCTATATATTCCTTCAACAGTACAAGAACTAGAGAAATTAAATAAATTTTATATTTTAATAATGTTATTAGACCATTTATTTATTTTATTTAGATTTTATTTTCCGACTTAAATCGCAACTTTTTTTCTAACATGATTCTTAAAAGTAAAACGGTGTTAGCATGAGGCGATATTTCGGGCAGATTTTAGTTGACAGCAACAATCGGCTGGTGTGAAAGGCCTTTCAACTAAACGCTTTCAATGATATTGAGAGGCAGACAACTTTTGATTCAGCTGTAAAATCGCCTCCCCCATGTGAACACCGTTTTAGTCACATTAAATTTAAATGAATTTCAGGCAGTCACAGATGAAGAGTCGATCTCTAACTGTACTAAAAAGCGCCTCCAATAAGGAGAGCTGTCAAAACAATATAAGATATGAGAATTAAACTATTATTGAACTTAGATAGAAAAGACCAATTGTTGGACGACTAGTGAGATATGAGTTTTTTTTTTTTTTGCTGTCCCACCTTCGTGGAATTTTTTCACACATTTAAGTGTAAGTTTGTGCTTATAATAAAAGAATTATCATATAAACTAAAAACGGCACTGGGTACAGAGGCTTTCAACTGAGAATATAATAAAAAAGATGGATCTTGCAGATCACCATACACGGCATCAGCTGACATAAGCCCATTATTTTTATTTATTTGTTTGCTCACAGTACTGTGCGCCTCACAAACTGTAATAAAATATCTGTATAATTTAAAGAATGACACTCTCAGACCCAAAGACGGAAGGGTGCTCCGTCGGTGGATGGTTGAGCTATGAGAGGTGGTGAATGGGTTCCTCTTAGCTTTCTTCATATGGACAACTTTTGCCGAAAGAGCTTGTTTGTAAACACACATACTGCAGACTTTTTCAGCGTCAATAATTCTTCAGTACCTTTCTTCCTCTCTTATTTAGTAACGGTCATAAGGACATTGAGATCAGACAGTCGTCCTGATTGTTTCATAGGTCATCATTATTTACAGCTGAGGTGTATTCTCAAATCCGAATTATTCGAAAATAAATCGGTGATTGTAGGGAGCTATTTGCTTCGCTTATCTGCATTTGCGAGCCGTGAATAGCCATATCGTATTCCCCTTCGATATTGATGTGTTCAGGAACCCGAACATTCCCGCACTATTTATGAGGCAACCTGCTTTCTGTATGGGAAAGATCCAAGCCTGAAAACATTGCAGTTATGAAGCAGGAGATATGACTGCCTTATCTGAAGGCCACTGGAGTACGGACCTGACCCCACTTATCGGTGTAGATGGAAACACCCTCATTTACTAACAGCTGGCCACATTCCAAATCTTCCCAAGTTGGAAAATGTATACGAAACTTTAAACTAAAATCCCTTAGTCTAATGGCCCTTTTTGCCGTACGTTTTTTTGGAATTTGTAGGCCTTCTCGCTTTCTGGCATTCATCGTACGACTCTTTTCTGTAATTTTTTGAACACATCCTTTACTTCGGAAAACGCTTCCAGTATCATTGTACTACTACTTCTTCTAGTATTTTTTCTTTTAACGAAGGTAATTAACATGATTTCTAAATATTATTACGCTGTTTATACTTAAAAATAATTTTCATTAAATTATTCGTTTTTGAAAAAGAATAAAAATCCCGCAAACAAATCTGACGACAATGCAAACACATAACCCAAATAAATAGGTTACACATAGAAACAACGAAACCTAATTTTTTATAATTTTATACAAAACTAACTAAAATAAAATAATAATAATTAGGTAAGCAAACACGATTTTGTAGTAATACAAAATATAGGATATATAATAAATAAAAAATTTCACTGTAAAATACCAAACTGAAAAAACAAAAAAAATCCGAGTTTAATATATTTATTTAACTGTGCGTACAAAAACATTTTTTTATTGCAGCTTATTATTGAAGGTCTAAGCACATGCGTGTGTTTTTTATATAACAAAAAAAGTACAGTACTTAATGCTTTAGCGTAAGAAATGTGAACAAGCTCCTTGAATCTCAAGCAAATTTTTCTGCAATATTAAAACCACATACATATTTACTACTACATAAACACACATGTGTGTGTGTAAAATTTTCAAGGTTTGTTAGTTTTAAGAACTCAACTCAAAAACTATGTATAAATGTGACTTAAACTAAACTTTTAAAATTACACTTAAACTAAAAATTTTATCTAAGTCATTGAAATCAACTTATTTTTCTTTAAATTCTCATAAGTGTACATAAAACACGAAGAAAGTATTCAAACATTTATTGACACATAACAAAAACTAAATAAATCTATCAAACTAGCTTCATAAGT